TGTGTCCTCAGAGACTGTGTGTGTCCTCAGAGTCAGTGTCCTCAGAGACAGTGTCAACAGATTCAGATCTCGTTCTATGAGTTATTATATCTTGCTGTCACCAGGGGCTCCTGTTACCTTTTTACTTTAAAAAAAAAACCTTACTTAAGATAAATGTGAGTTGAATTAAAACCGGCCTTCTTGAGGTTAACATGTTTCCATTATATCACCAGTGGAGCTGGAGCGGAATGTTCATGAAGGTGTGTGTCTCTAAATCAGAGACAAAGATTCTTCTGGTGGGTGATGGGTGGATCCTTACATGTATGTCCCACCCATACACGCTCTCGACCAATCCAGTGCCAGCTGTCATCATGTCGTCTCTGCCTGTTTTTCTATCATCATATAAGTAATTAAACCAAACTGATGAGAAACACTTGAACAAACATCAGAGAGAGAAGAACGAGCTGAAATGACAGAAACATCTTTGACAAACATTTATTTAACGTCTGCTTTGAGCTTTAGTTTGTCATGTCCCATCTGCTAACGTGGAGGAGGAGGGGTTAATACTGCAGCCAGACACCAGGGGGTGATCCAGATTATTTGGCTTCCCTTTTAGGAGATGTGATGTAGTCCATCTTTATTTACAGTCTGAAAAAGACATTCAGTCTGACGCCTTGAGGTCTCACTCCTCCCAGTTTTCAGTCCTGTGGGACAGACAGCCTCTCTTCCTCAAGCTGTGATTGGCTGCGTGGTCCTCTGGTCGACCTCAGCTTGCTGACTGACGGCATCGACCCACTTGGTGGTCGTGAACGTGGAGGGAGACGTGGCGCTCTACTTTTCCTCCAGAGTTGTATGTAGGACACAGGCCGACCTCCAGATTCATCTCAGTCACAGCTTCACTTTTACTGATTCTTTTTTTATTTTCTGTTAAAGAGACTTTAAGCTGTTAAAGCAGCATGAGAAATCTCCCATCAGCCACCTGTGCTGGTTCAGATCCTAAGTGAACTGCAGAAGCTGCTTGGCTGCGTCTGTGTCTGACGAGCCTTTGAGCAAATCATCGCTGACTCTCACCTTCACAGGATAAATATTCAGGCTGGAAGACGCTGAAAACTGCCTCCCTTTAGTTTAGGGGGGTGTGGGTGGCAATCTGGCTCCAGGCCTGAGAGCAGATACCCTGCTGGAGAAACAGATGGCCCAATGCATCATGGGAGTTATGTCCACAAATATCTGTTCTGGTCTTAAATAGCTCAGGAAGCTGAGCAGGTTTTGTTTCTAAACTGGACTGTGGGTTGTGAGGTTTACCTGTCAACACAATCTGTTCAAGGAACGGTGCTGACTTAACAATTTAAAACAGGAAAACATAGAAGAAGTCAGAGACATTATGAGTTCAGGTTGTCCATCTGTCCATCTGTCTCACTCTTGTGAACACAACCACCTCCAGGAAGTGTCTTTAAATTGGTACAAAGGTTCAGTTTGACTGACAGATGAACTGATTAGATTTCAGAGGTCAAAGGTCAAAGGACAAAGTCACAGTGACCTGGTATGAATCTGGATGATAAGTCTTTGACCCTGTTCATATCATTATTATCTGCTGTGTGTTTCTAGATATTTCTCACCGTGTTCCTCAGCAACAATGACCAGCACTTCACCGAGGTTCCCATCACGCCGGAGACGCTGTGCCGAGACGTGTTGGAGCTCTGCAAGGAGCCCGGCGAGGCCGACTGCTACCTGGCTGAGATGTGGAGAAGCTCAGGTCCACAGATATTTTGATTATTGTTGTTATTATTTTACAGTTAAATACTTAAAGTCTTGTGATTAAGGTTCAAACCCTTGAAACACAGAACCACATATTTTAGATTACATCATAATTCAGTCATCAATCAGTCATCTTGTGTGTTTCTCACCAATCAGAGCGTGTCGTTGGAGAATCGGAGCAGATGATGGAGGTGTTGCAGCGGTGGGGGCAGCAGAGGGGGGAGGTCCGTTACCTCCTCCACCATCAGAGAGCTCCGGGACCAGAGTCCGGTGAGAAACACCTGTTCACAGCTGGAGGTTGTTTAACTCACATCTTGCGAGGGATCATGTCCTCAACACAAACCCTCCAACACAAATATATTCATAAAATATATTTATAAATACCAGACATACTCCTTACACCTTTACTCAAGTTCTGACGTGTTCCTGACGTGTTCCTCACATGTTCTGCATGTGAGAACAAATGTCTGAGTCAGTGTCTCTGGACATTTTCTGGATCTTCTCCTGCCGCTTCTAGTAAAACATCTGTACGATGTCAGAGTGAGAGAACATTTGGAACCTTCTCAGTGAGTGAGTGAGCGTGTCTCTGAGGTTTCTAACACGTGACGGACGTGAAACTGAAGAACACAAATCTCTCAGGATGAAGAAGAGGAGCCGTACATGTCGAAGACGAAGACGTCCACTTGGAAAGACGAGGAGGTTCCAGATGTTTTGGTGATAAGGAGGGACACCGGTGTGGACGAGCTGTAAACAGAAACACTGATCTGACTAGACAACATGTCCCAATGTGTCCAGGTTATATTTTCTCCAGCTGTGTTTAGAAGCTTTATTTTTTTGTCTCATTCTCATGAACATGTCAGGAACTTTTTGAAAGAATTCCTTCAATCGTTGTCTTGGACTCAAGGTTGAGTTTATAAGAGAAATGTAATCCTGCAGGAGGTGACAGAGGAAAAGATGAGTGTTAGTTCCAGTGACCTCAGTCAACATCCGCACACAAACAAACATGGCACTAAAAGATTTTAATGTAAAATCAGTGTTCCAACCGTTTGTTTGTGTCCAGATCGATCCAGAACGTCAGAGCAGAAGGTGAAGAGGAACCAGGGGAAGGCTGCTGCATGTCTGGAGAACGGGGTGAGACTCATAAGAACATTCTTCCTAAAACCAGTTTTCTGACTTTCACAGATGTTTTCTTATCTGGGATTTGTTCTACAGGTCTCAGCTCCTCGTCTGGATGTGACCTTCAGTGAACTTCAGGATCTGGCGACTCAACAGCAGCAGCTGCTGGCCTCCAAAGTACGACAAACACACTGCTGCTGTCAGATATGCTGATATTTATTTCCACATTTTTCAATTGACATGAACGTTACCTTATTGGTAATTGGTCTGTATTTATAAAGATCTAGTCCTGATGACACTCATAGCACTTTACAGTATGTTGCCATTCACACAAACAAATCACACACAAAAATTTCATAGCACATAAACACTGAAACAACGATTCTGGAAACGAGACGTTCTTTGTTATTTTATCAACAATTTTCTTCCAATCATGAGCAGAGGGTGTATGAACGTGTTTTACCTCAGCGCCTCCGTTCTCCTCCTCATGACCCGTGTTCTGTGCGTGTTGCAGGAGCAGCAGCTGCGCTTCCTGAAGCTGCAGGATCAGCGGCAGCAGCAGCAGGAGGCGTCTGAACAGGAGCGACTTCAGCAGCTCAGAGACAACGCTCACAACCAGGAGGCCAAACTGAGGAGGGTCCGGGCCCTCAGGGGCCAGGTGGAGCAGAAACGCCTCAGCAACAGTAAACTCGGTCAGTTTGACAGAGGAGTGTTTGTGTGCGTGTGTGAGAGTGTGTGTCTGTGTGTGTGTGTGTGTGTGTGTGTGTGTGTNGTGTGTGTGTGTGTGTGTGTGAGTGTGTGTGTGTGTGTGTGTGTGTGTGTGTGTGTGTGTGTGTGTGTGTGTGTGTGTGTGTGTGTGTGTGTGTGGCTGCTTAACAGTTATTAATTTAGTGTCATATAATTATGATTTTATTTAAATGATTTTATAATTTCCTGAAGATCTCTGTCAGAATTTGCTAAAAGATTCTGATACTTATTTGTAAATGATTCAATATTTCCAGCTCAGTTTGGTGTATGACACCATTCAATTGTGTCTCTACAGTTGAAATAGCTCCTGTTTGTTGTCCTATATGTGTTTGTGGTTCAGTGGAGGAGATCGAGCAGATGACCGGTCTGTTCCAGCAGAAGCAGAGGGAGCTGCTGGTTGCCGTGGCGAGGCTGGAGGAGCTCAGCGACCAGCTGGAGGTGCTGAGGAGCACGCGAAAGGAGCCACCATCTCCTCACCACCACAACACGCCCTCCTCCACCGTGGAGCTGGAGCTCCTCTGTAAAGAGCTGCAGGTCAGATCTCAGATGACGTCGTCCGGTCAGAACAACCGCTGTTGACACGTGTTTGTCATTGGACTTGTAGAGACTCAGGGGGACGACTTGTGTAACCACAGTTATTTATTATTTTTTTATTTATTTCTGTAGCTACAATTTACAGATGCCCTCAAACTCCTCACATGCAGGTTTGTTAACACTCAGACGCTATAACGGCTCCTTAAACTGAAGTGTCAAGGAAGATTGGCTGTTCCACTCTAGTCCACCTGGTGGCAGTAATTCGAAGACCAAATAAACAGACTGTAAATAAAGATGGAGGACATGTCTAAAGTGAAGCCAAAGTGTCCCCATCAGATAAGACATGAACCAAACTAAAGAATCAAAGCATTCAGCTCGTTCTTCTCTCTCTGATGTTTGTTCAAGTGTTTCTTATCAGTTTTATTTAATCAATTATTGATGATATGAAAACTGAGACTGACTCAGGATTGGTCCACAGTGTGTATTTGCAGGACCTCGACACCATGGCTCCACCCCTCGATCACTGCTGCACAGACTCCAGTCTTTATTCAGTCTGTGGTCGACACCATAATTAATATAAATATTTCCATAAACACTTCACATGCAGGTGTTTGGTAGATGCTATGATTTAAAATTCAATATGACTAAAATAACAATATATTAATTTACCATCCAATGGAAAATTAAACCTCATATCCTTCACCATTTCTGCAAGTTTCTTCAAAAAGTCTTTTCTCTTGAACACGTCAAAAGGACGACTAGATAGTGTGGCTAAACTTAGCAAGCAGGCAGGCTAGGCTAACTAGCAATGAAAGTCCTTCTACTTTGTTCTTCACCTCCACTGATCCGACATTTTCGTCCTCCTCAGCTGAGAAACAAGCTGAACCAGGAGCAAAGCTCACGGCTGCAGCAGCAGAGAGACGGCCTGAACAAGAGGAACCTGGAGGTGGTGGCCATGGACCGCCGGCTGGGTGAGCTCAGGCAGCGGCTGTGGAAGAAGAAGGCTGCCCTGCAGCAGAAGGAGACCCTGCCAGTAAGAAGATATTTAAGGATAATCTATTATCTTTATTATTTATTATTATCTCTTTTTTTTACAGCTTTTTTTTATTCAATACTTTATATAGATGTAATTTAGCATTCTACCCTCCACCATGTTGTTCCTGCAGTTCTGGTTCCAGCAATAGTTCATTGATTTCCTGGTTTTACATCATACTCAACACCAGCCAAAAACAGTGAAGCAGTCAAATAAGTTGGTTCCCTGCAGGTGGCGTCAGAAGGCTCCGCCCCTCAGCATGGCGTGGGCTCCAGAGTAGCGGCGGTGGGGCCATACATTCAGTCGTCCTCCACAACAGGCTCTCAGGGGCCTCCTCTGCCGGCTCGCCAAGAGCTTCTGGGGAAGCCACTGTACCCAGAAGGCACAGCAACCCTGCTAATACCCGACTCATCCTTGAAGCCGCCTCCCAGACCCGTCAAACTGGCCGCAGGTTCAGTTTGATAAGTTCAAATGCAAAGAAAATGTTTTTCTTTCATCCACAGCTCCTCAGCTGGCACTTCCTGTGTGATAGGTTTAATCTTCTTCTGCTTTTTGCAGGTTTCAGCTCCTCTAAAATAACCCAACTCTCCGACTGGAAGGCCAGAGCACTTCCTGATTCTAGTGGAGGTTACAGCCACGCCTCCACGCTGCCCCGTATGTCCAGCCTCAGCTCCCGCAACTCCGGTCAGTTTCTGCAGTGTCCAAAATATGGTAGAAAGAGGTTATCAATTTTAATTGTTTAAATGTTTAAATTCTCACTTCAGAAACTATGGGAGACGTTTTAAACCGTCTTTCTGTCGGACAGTTTAAAACATCTGCCGGTTGTTTTTATGAAGCCTCCGACAGAGAAGAAGACGTCTGTGTTATGATGAAGATTTTCTTTCCTGTAGGTGGTGAGAGGGGACTTTGTGGATCTGATGTCCCGCCTCCTGTCCCGTCACGGACCAATCACAGCACTGACACCCTGCTCAGGGACAATCAGGTACAACAGCAAATCACAGCTGATAAGAAAAGATTTACCTTTATTTATCCTCCGTAGAGGAAATTCACAGATGACACAGCAGCACAAAAAAGTAGCAGCGCAAGGGGAAAAATAGTAAGACTAAAAATATGAATAAAAATTGAAATATTATATAGAGTAGACCTAATGCTATATATACACATGGTTGTTGTTTTTTAAATGTACAATGTAGATACAGGCATCAGAGTTGTGTTCATGTCCATTCTTTGTAATATATAGACTGTGAAGCAGTTCTTTGCTGAGACAAAGTGTTCGACTGTCGGAGCTGTGCTCAGTCTAATGTCTGACTGCACAGAGGAGCCCTCAGGTGCTTGAGGCTGGATGAGTGAGAACCAGCTCCTGAGTTGCCTCAGTTCAGCAGATAGGAGAGAGGGTTCGTTTTGGTTGGTGCCACAGTTGCTGTTGTACAGCCACAGAACCTCAACAAAGATGATGACGCTGTCCACCACAGACTGGAAAAACACCCGGAGCAGCCAAGGACACACGTTAAAAGACCTGAGCCTCCTCAGAAAGAACATCCTGCTCTGTCCCTTCCTGTTCAGGGCCTCAGTGTTGTCTGACCAGTCCAGTTTGTTGTTCAGATGTACCCCCAGACACATATAGTCGTCCACAATGTCCACCCCCTCCACATTAATCACAACAGGGGTGGGGGATCTCCAGGTCCACTACCAGCTCCTTGATTTTCCTGATGTTGAGCTACAGGTGATTTCTTCCACACCATCATAAAGAACTCCTCCTCTTTGTCCTCTGTGATACAGCCGACAATGGAGGAGATGTCAGAGAACTTCTGTAGGAGGCAGAAGTCTCCGGTGTAAACGCTGAATAGAAAAGGTGACAGTTCCCTGCAGTGGGCCTGTGTTGCTCACTACCACATATAACGAGCAGTCCTGCAGCTAGACATGATCCAGCCTGTCAGTGAGCCTGTGATCCATGTCACAAGGTCTCAGTCTGCCTGCATCATAGAGAGCTTCTGGGCCAGCCTGTGTGGCTGAACTGTGTCAAACACACCGTAGGCGTCAAAGAACATAATCCTCAGGCTGCTTCGGGGCTTCTCCAGGTGTGTCTGCTCTGTGAAGCAGATGATGGCATCTTTGACCCCAATGTCAGTCTGATATGCTGGAGTGGGTCCAGGTGGTCCCAACACAGGGGCTTGAGGTGCTGCTCTCTGGGATTGTTCTGCTTTTACAGAAGTCGGGATACACAGATGTGACAAATGCCTTTTCAGTCTTTAGATTTTATCTGCACTAACCTGTATTTGTATTTCACCACTAGATCACAGCGCCACCTCCTGTTCCCATTAAGCCCAATCCGTTCTCTTCGTCCGGCCCACCAACCTTCTCCAAGCCCCCCTACAGCACTGGGACCTTCCCTGGTAAGGCTCGGCCGGTCGGCGGCCACCTCAGGGCTCCAGGAGTCCTCTCCAGCAACTGCAATACACTCCCTCTGCCCAACAAGCAGGAAAGCCCTCCGGCCGCTGCCGTCCGACCTTACACCCCGGACCTCTCAGATGCCCCCCCCCCTGTGCTGCAGAAGCCTCAGACTGTGGCTGCATCATCCATCTACTCCATGTACACCCAGCAGGCCACTCCGGGAAAGGGCTTCCAGCCAGGAGGTCAGGGCACACTGCTCCGCAGTCAGCCCCGAGGTGCAGCACTCACTCTATTTTCATCTGTTGTAGATCGCAGGTGAGAGATGTTTTGTTTTTCACATTGGTTTTGTTCTGACGTCAGTGTCTCTGCCTCATTACAGTGTACGGGAAGCCAATCCTCCCTGCCGGTGGGGGACAGCTGTCTGTCTCATCAGACAACACTGGCCTGAATTCTGGGGCCTGTGTGTCTGACGGGAGCGAGGCTGACAGTTGTCTGGGTATTGGCGAAGGTGTCAGTGGAGAGACGGTAGAACGAGCCACCCCTCGACCACTCAGCCCCACCAAGCTCCTCCCCTTCCTGTCCAACCCTCACAGGAACCCCAGTGACGTGGACCTTGAGGCCCTGCGACGCCGGCTGCACCACGCACCCCGGCCCCTGAAGAAACGCAGTTCCATCACGGAGCCCGAGGGCCCGGCCGGACCCAACATCCAGAAGCTTCTCTACCAGAAGACCACTCTGGCTGCCATGGAAACCATTCCCATGGAGACAGTCAGTCCAGCAGGGACATATATTCAGCCTGAGGTACACGACTACCAGGTGGGAGGTGTGGATGTCGATGACAACACCGGGGCGAGCTTCAACCGACTGCTCGCTGAGAGCCCAGAGGACTCCCTGACTCCGCCCCCTCTGCCCCCTCGCTCACCCATCACTGACTCCGCCTCCTGCTGCTCCCTGTGCCCCGCCCTTGAGGACAAGGAGGAGGAGGTGTGTCCAGCCTCAGTCCACCATGACTACTTTCCAGAGGAGTTCCCCCCATACCCCCCCCCACCATACCCCAGCTGTGGGAAGACCGAGCATGGAGACGACACCCACAACCTGCAGCCGCCGGAGGTCACAGGGCAGGTCACAGTGCCGCAGGTGAGCGTTTCAGTACGACAACATATGATCTCTGGTGAACTCTGTTTCCTCCAGAACACTGAGAACATCTTAGAGGGTTCCAGCCCAGAGACAATCGAAGATGCAGCTTTTTAAACTACAGGTTGTGGAACAGATTTCGATATCAGAGAAGATGGTTCAGTAAACATCTTGAAGAATTTCTCTCTACTTCAGACTTTAACGAGATCTTTCACTTACACTCCTGCACTTTTATTATTGTCACCTTCCTTATTTTCTGTTTTTATGAATTCTTTAGTTCTTTTCCTCTTTTTTCCCTTTTCTTTTAAATGTAATTTTAACAACTTATGTTGTTCTCCTCTTATTTTGAATGACATTTTAACATGTTTTTTTTAATCTATATTGTTTGTAAAGCTGAATTTCTTGTATGAAAGGTGCTATACAAATAAAGTGTATTATTATTATTATTAAAGGGTCAGTTCACCTTTCTCCTCTCCTCCCTCTGTTCTTTCTCTCAGGGTAAAAGGTCTATCCTCCGTAAAGTCGGCTCAGAGCGGATCAATCACACGATGCGGGTCAAGTTCAACCCTCTGGCTCTGCTGCTGGACTGTTCTCTGGAGGGCGAGTATGACCTTGTCCAGAGGGTCATCTTTGACGTGAGTGTCGTCAGAGACTCTGTCAGGGAGTCGCTCCACTTACGACTCCACTGAAATGATCACAGATGTATTTTATGAATATTTTGTGACGATCAATCATCATATAATCGCTCTTATTCATAGGAAACAATTTATCTGAACCGTTCAGTGTTTGAATCGATTTATGTAACAACAGTTTTGCTGTTTAAAGCTGTACGATGTTCAAAAGTTAGCATGAGCTAAACTCTAGATGTCTTTGTGTTTGCAGGTGGACGACCCCAGCTCGGCAAATGACGAGGGCATCACTGCGCTGCACAACGCCGTCTGTGCCGGCCACACCGAGATCGTTAAGTTTCTGGTTCAGTTTGGCGTCAACGTCAACGCTGCCGACAGCGACGGCTGGTGAGTCTGAACAACATCACTGCTCAGTTCTGCCGATGAGTTTTGTGTCCAGAAGCTGTGGTAACCAGTTGAGTCTCAAACCTTCTTCCTCCAGGACTCCGCTTCACTGCGCCGCCTCTTGTAACAATGTTCAGGTCTGTAAATTCCTGGTCGAGTCGGGGGCGGCCGTGTTTGCCACCACTTACAGTGACATGCAAACAGCTGCCGACAAATGTGAGGAAATGGAGGACGGCTACGCCCAGTGCTCCCAGTTCCTATATGGTGAGAAACAGTCATGTTACATGTTTGATGGGTTGTGAATGTTTGTTTCCACACGTGTCAACTGAGGCGATATCAGAGGTTCTCAATTGAGATAAAAAGTAGCTTCCAGAGTCCATGAGGAGTTTGTCTTCTTTATAAAGTGAATGTTGGGTTTAAAGAGCTTTAATGATTTTGTCCACAGCTTTTTTTTGAGTAGATTCAAGAAGTTAAAGCTCATTAGTTGAGTGAAGACAGGGGTTAGGATTATAGGCTTGAAAAGAGCTCCAGAGTCTTTTAGGACATTGCATAGGTTTATGAAGATGTTACCAAGGTTTTAGGAGGTCCCATGATTCCTTGGGGAGATTTGTGAAAACACAGATCCATAGCAGCACGTTGAACATTATGGATCTTTAAAAGGTAGTTCTTTCGGGCCATGAGCCGAAGTTGTCAAGTAGGTTTGAGGAAGGAAAAGACTTTCAAGGTCGTATAAGCTGTGTCTGACTTCAGGGGTCGCATCCTTCGGAGGCTGTGTTTGAAGACTGAGTGCGACTACTTCAAATGTGGCAGAGAAATGCGTCCTTCAATTCCAGAGCAGCGAAGGATCCTATCTTGTGTTTGATGAAGTTTCATTCGTCACTGTTCCAGGATAATTAAATGTTCCTCAAACTGAATCTAAAAATAATAAGGATATAATCACAGATTGTTTCAACATCCTTTAGTGTAGACCAGTGCATGGATGTGTCAGTGTTCTACTGGTTAACCCTAACCCCACAATTTAAGATAATGAGATGAAAAAACATCTATTAGGGTTAGGGCTCCCATAACAGGGAAAGTTACTTTGCAGTTCCAGGGGTCCCATCGAGTTGATGGGGTGGATACAGAGGTCCTTACGGGTCCTTCAGGAGGTTTTAAGGCTCTAACTCTGTCTCGCTGTTTGTCACAGTTACACAGAATTTACATAATCAAGTTTTCTAACGCTCTTTGTCTCGGCAGGCGTTCAGGAGAAGATGGGCGTGATGAACCGCGGCGTGGTGTACGCCCTGTGGGAGTACGAGACTCAGAGTGACGATGAGCTTGGCTTCAGCGAGGGCAACTGCATGACGGTGCTGAGACGGGAGGATGAGGTGGAGACGGACTGGTGGTGGGCGAGATGTGGCGATGGCGAGGGATACATCCCCCGCAACCTGCTGGGGGTGAGCGACTCAGTTTGTCTTCCAACAGCTGAGCGTCCTTGGGTCCCGTGAAAGGACCTATATAAATTCAAGACATTATTAATATAATTATTATTATATATATCATTGTTTAAAGTGTTTGTACAAAAGAAAAAGTCTCACAGGTTTGAAGGGAACAGCAACAACAAGTGCAAAGTGATTGTCAGCAATAGTAGAATATGTGAGCAGGCATATATCTAAGAAATCTATATATAATCTACTTATATAAGAAGTTTCCCTGTTTAACTTTATCTTAATGACGAACTCTTTTTGTTTCCCAGCTGTATCTGAGGATCAAACCGCGGCAGAGGAGCCTGGCGTAACCTCCGGCCGACCAATCCTTCAGAGGAGACGAGCAGCGAGTGAATGATCCTCTGGACTCGTTCAGAGACGCCGTGTCAGGGGAATGAGACAGATGTTTTTCAATCTGCGCTCACATCTGCACAGTATTACTTTTTCTCAATTCATTTGTTTCTCTGACGTCCCGAGAGCCTCAAATGAAATGAGAAATTATTTTGGGTTCATTTTGTAATATTGTGTCTTTTGTCAAGATTTTATTTTCATTTCATTGAACATTAAAAGAAAAGAAAACAATCTGCAGCAAATGTCCCAAAGGCTGAAACTGCAAAGCTCTTTTTATGTTTTCATTTTTTATTTAATATGACGTATATTTAATATGACATATACAAAGGTTTAATCTGTTGTTGGGTCTTTTACAGGATCCTCGAGTTTCACCCAGAATGTAATAAAATAGTTAAATAAACATTAATTTACGGGGCCGTTTTACCAAAAACATGTTTCTAATGCACTGAAGGAAGAATCAGAACCTTGACGATGTGAGATTTGATTTCTACAAACACTGATTCATTTATTCGTTCTGCTTCAGTTTGTTTAAGATTAAAATGTTGGACTTTGTTTAATTTATTGTTTAATTCTTCTTCATCAGCTAATGTTACAAATATGTTTAAATTGATTTTTCTATATCAACGGTTTCTTATTACAAAACTCATTATTTTACTGATATATTGAAAGTTTTTCAAAATAAAACCTCCATCTGTTTGAAATCAACTGCAAAACACTGATCGTCTTTATATACAGTCAGTGATCATCTTTATATACAGTCAGTGATCATCTTTATATACAGTCA